CCCAGCACTTTTGGGAGAACCAAGTGGAGAAGGTTCACTTGAGGCCCAGAGTTCAAAACCAGCTGGGCTACAGAGTGAGACTTGCTCAACAAAAACAGAACATAACAAGTTTTGAGAAAGCAGAGTTCTTTTTCTTTTTTTGAGAACAGGATCTTGCTCTTCATGCCAGGCTAGAGTGCAGTGGCATCACTATAGTAATGACCTCCAAACTTATGCTGAACATTCCTGCTCCAAGTTTCTGAGTAGGCTGGGACTATGATGTGCCACTCATACCATCAAATTTTTTCTTAATTTTTGGTAGAGACAGGTTCGCTCTTTTGGCGGCGGTTCAAACTCTGACTCAACCTGCTTTCTGCCGGGCCCTCACAGAGTGCTAGATTATAGGTGGAGCCCCACCATGACTCAGTCAGAAAGCAAAATTTTTAATAGCTTGATTAATTTAATAAAAAAGGGAATCTATACAATCATAAGATTAATATATTCATCCTAATATATTTTGTCCAGAATTTTTCGAATCAAAAATTTCTACACCAGAAATTAAATTCCTATTGTAAAAATGAATTGAAGTATTTGTCCATATGGATTGCAGCTGATTACAGTACGCACAATTATTATCTGAACAAATGGCTTTTACCAAAAAAATATAAAATTTTTTTATTTTTTTATTTCATAATTTATTGTGGCTTTCCTAAAAGACATTAAATTGATAAATTGGCTCATTGGAGGAAAAACAAAATCAGATAAAGCAAAATTAATCCCGAAAAAGTTTACCTACCTTTGAAATTGGGGGCAAATGAAACTGCCACACTTATTTAGTACCTTTGAAGAAAGATAACCAGTTGTGTAAATTTAGAAAAGTGGATTTCTGGTGAATACTTTTTAACAAAAAGATTAAAGTTTTGCCAATTATTGATATGCATTTATTATTTAGCCGAAACAAATTAAAAATTATAAAATGTAAGAGAAAAACACCTGTAATATCTATAGTTAATACATTCTTCATTACCTGATTCAACAGCTTGTGATTATTTCCCATTATCCGATCAAGAGTAATCAAAACATCCTGATGATCTCCTCACATCCCATAATTTTCTCTACTGTTCAGCACTGAGCAAGAAATAAATTTCAAATGTGATGAGATGTATAGTTTACAAATATTTTCCCCATTCTATAGGTTGTGTCTTCATTCTGATGATTGTTTTCTTAACTATGAAGAAGCATTTTAGTTTGATGTAATCCCATTAGTCTATTTTTGCTTTTGTCATCTATGCTTTTTAGGACATATCCAAAAAATCATTGCCTAGACCAGTGTTATAGAGGTTTTCCTCCAATATTTTGTTCTAGTAGTTTCATAATTTCAGTTCTTAAATGTAAGTCTTTAGTGCATTTGGATCTGATTTTTGTATATGGTAAGAGATAGGATCTAATTTTATTCCTCGACCTTTGGATATCTAGTTTTCCCAGCACCATTATTGAAGAAACTATACTTTCCCCACTGTGTATTCTTGGCATCCTTGTCAAAAATCAATTGACTATAAATCGGTGGATTTATTTTGGGCTCTCTACTCTGTTCTATTGGACTATGTGTCTGTTTTATGCCAGTATCATGCTGTTTTGGTTACTATAGCTTTGTGGTATATTTTCAAGTGAGGTAGTGTGATTCCTCCAGCTTTGCTCTTTTTGCTGAAGATTGCTTTTGCTATTCAGGGTTTTTTGTGATTTCATGTTAACTTTAGGATTTTTTTCTCTATTTCTATGAAGAATGTCATTTGTATTTTAATAGAGATTGCATTGAATCTATATATTGCTTCTAATTGTATGAACATTTTAACTATTCTTTCAATCTATGAACACAGATATCTTTCTGTTTATTTGTGTATTCCTCAGTTTCTTTCATCAATGTTTTATAGTTTTCAGTGTAGAGATCTTTTACCTCTTTGGTTAAATTTATTCCTAAGTATTTTATTTTTCCACAGCCATTGTAAATGGCATTGTTTTCTTGATTTCTTTTTCAGATAGTTTGCTGTTAGTGTGTGGAAATACTATTGATTTTTATATATTGATTTTGTATCCTGAAGCTTTACTGAATTCATTTACTAGTTCTAACAGTTTTTTGGTGGAGTCTTTAGGGTTTTCTCTATATAAAATTATGTCATCTGGCCAGGCACAGTGGCTCATGCCTGTAATTCTAGCACTTTGGAAGGCCAAGGCAGGCAGATCACTTGAGGCCAGGAGTTTGAGACCAGCCTGAGCAAAAACGAAACCCCGTTTCTACCAAAAGTAGAAAAATTAGCTGGGTGTGGTGGTGTGTGCCTGTAGTCCTAGATACTTGGGAGGCTGAGGCAGGAGGATCACTCCAGCCCAGGAGTTTGAGGTTGCAATGAGCTATGATGATGCCACTATACTCTAACCCAGGGCAAGACCCTGTCTCTAAATAGATAAAAAATAAAATTAAAATAAAAATATAAAAATTATGTCATCTGTAAACAGGGACAATTTAACTTCTTCTTTCCAATTTGGATGCCTTTTATTTCTTTCTCTTGTCTAACTACTCTTGTTGAGACTTCCAGTACTATGTTGAATAGATATGGCAAGAGTGAGCATCCTTGTTGCAGATCTTAAAGGAAAAGCTTACAACTTTTCCTCATTCAGAATGATGTTAGCTGTGGGTTTCTCATATATGGCCTTTATAATGTTTAGGTATATTCCTTCTAACCCTAATTAGTTGAGAGTTTTTTATCATGAAGGAATGTTGAATTATTGAAATTATCATATGGTTTTTGTCCTTCATTTTGTTAATGTGATGTATCACATGTATTCATTTGCCTATGTTGAACAATCCTTGCATCCCTGGAGGGATGATTCCCACTTTATCATAGTGAATGATCCTTTTAATACATTGTTGAACTCAGTTTGCTAATATTTTGTTCAGGATTTTGCATTAATGTTCATCATGGATATTGGCATGTAATTTTCTTATTTTGTTTTCCTTGTGTGATTTTGGTATCAAGGTAATGCTGGCCTTGTAGAATGAGTTTGGGAGTATTCTGTCCTCTTTAATTTCTTGGAAGAGTTTGAGAAGAATTTATATTAGCTCTTCTTTAAATATTTTGTAGAATTCAGCAATAAAGCCATTCAGTTCTGGGCTTTTCTTTGAAGGAAAACTCTTTATTACAGATTCAATCTCCTTACTCATTATTGGTATGCTTAGATTTTCTGTCTTCATAATTCAAACTTAGTAAGTTATATGTGTCCAAGCATTTATCCATTTCTCTAGGTTATCCACTTTGTTGTGTAATTTTGTTCTCTTATAATCCACTGTATTTCTATGGTATTAGTTGTATAATGTGTCCTTTTTTATCTCTGATTTTCTTAATTTCAGTCTTCTGTCTCTTTTGTGTTTAGTCTAGGTAAAGGTCTGTTGATTTTGTTTATCTTTTCAAAAAGCAACTTTTTTGTTTATGTTTTGTATTGTTTTTCTAGTCTTTATTTGTTTCTGTTCTGATCTTTATTTCCTTCCTTCTACTAAATTTGGGTTTATTTTATTCCTGTTTTTCTAGTTCCTTGAGGTACACACTACTTGTATTCTATGCATTTTTATATTTGGCCTTTATGCTATCCCTGTTTTCTGTATAATTTTCATAATTATGATTTATATAAACCATAGAGGTACTATAACATTATTAGGAATATGCATCTATTCTCAGTTGTTTCTCCTTTTTTTTTTTCTTTTTTTTAAGACAAGAGTCTTGCTCTGTGGCCCTGGGTAGAGTGCAGTGGCATCATAGCTCACTGCAACCTCAAACTCCTATGCTTAAGTGATCCTCTTGCCTCAGCTTCCTGAGTAGCTGGGACTACAGGCCGCACCATGATGCACAGCTAATTTTTCTATTTTTAGTAGAGATTAGATCTCACCCTTGCTCAGGCTGGTCTTTTTTTTTTTTTTTTTCCGAGACAGAGTCTCACTTTGTCGCCCAGGCTAGAGTGAGTGCCGTGGCATCAGCCTAGCTTACAGCAACCTCAATCTCCTGGGCTCAAGCAATCCAATTGCCTCATGCCTCAGCCTCCCAAGTAGCTGGGACTATAGGCATGCGCCACCATGCCTGGCTAATTTTTTGTATGTATATTTTTAGTTGGTCAATTAATTTCTTTTTAGTAGAGATGAGGTCTTGATCAGCCTGGTTTCAAACTCCTGACCTCGAGCAATCCGCCCACCTCTTTTTGGCCTCCCAGAGTGCTAGGATTACAGGCGTGAGCCACCATGCCTGGCCCATTTCTCCATTCTAGATAATGCTGCATTGAATACCTCTGGGCATATAGCTTTTTGCTATTTAATTATTTCCTTAAAGTAAATTCCCAGGAGTAATTACTAGGTCAAGGAGTAAGAATATCTTGGTTGTTCAGTGGGTACAGTTTTGCAATATGAAAAGTGTTCTAGAGATGGATTGTGGTGATGGTTGCACAATAATGTAAATGTATTTAATGTTACTGAACTATACATTTAGAAATGGTTAAGATTTAAAATTTTTTTAAATAAAAAGAATAGAAGGTTATATACCCCCCAAACAAAAGAACATCATTCTTTTGAAAAGAATGGTAGCATAATAAACCATTGGCCTTTTAGAGGAAATAACCAAATTACAGTGCCACCAACATTTTTTACCTCACTTGTACCAATATTGAATGTCTTTTATTTCTTAAAATTTCTGCTAAGTGGTCTAAAATGACTCTTCAAGATTGTCTTAATCTGCATATTTATTTCTATTAGGGTTGAAATGTAAATATTTGCCCTTGTGGTTTGTTTTTTTTTTTACTATTTGTATTTCCTTTTATGTGAAATGTACATTCATGTCATTGGCTTTTGTTTCTATTAAGACGTTGATCATTTTCCTTAAATTTAAAAGATCTCTTTTTGTAGTATAATATTTGAAGTATTTCTCCTAGTCTTTGTTGTTTTTAATTCAAATTTAAGAAATAACTTTATTATTTTAATCCTACAGGTGAACTATGGAAAAGTTTATAATAACAGTAGAAAAGGATTGAAATTCACTGTCTCCTGTGGCTGCAGTTCAGAATTTGTTTTTGTACCATATGGTAGCACCATTGCTGTTTATACAATTTACTCAGGAGAACAGATAACTATGCTTAAGGGACATTATAAAAGTGTTGACTGCTGTGTATTTCAGTCTAATTTCCAGGTAAGAATGATGCTTAAGGGAATTTAAAATGTTAGGTAGCTAGTTTGCCAGACTAGTTGTATATAAAAGAGTAAATTGTGATTTCATTCTGGGGAGTTATACTTTTTATCCACATTTGAGTTAGGATTTATTCAGTAGAGAATAATACAACCTAGATTTTTAGATGGCATAGGATATATGAGTGAATCAGCATAATACTATGCAACTTGATTGTAATAAATTTTCTTTCTTTTGCATATGGGCTTTATTTATTTAGCAGTTGAAAATCTCTGGTGAATTATCTTGCAAACAAACTTTTGGTTAAAAAATGAAATATAGGTGTTTAATCTCAAAATGTAGTTTGTATATCTTGGTTTATGTGTGGGTGTATCTAAATGTTTGTTTATTTCTTCCTTATTTTCTGTCAATGGCTAACAAAGGTATGTTTTTGAAGTTAATACATACATAATTTCTTAAATACCCATGGCTTTTGTTTGTTTAATATCCTGATCCTTCTTTTTCATGTCACCAGTGGGCAAATTGGCTTTTTTTTTTCAGAGATGTATACACAAATTACCTCATGTGCTCTTTTGAATGAGTCTAATATAGAAAGATAGTTATTTTCCCTGTTTTTTAGGTAAGGAAAATGAAGCTCATGAAAGTTAAATACTGACAGAATGAAAATTATAGATTATTAGAGCATGAAGGAACTTTAACTATCACCTGGTGAAACTCCTATTCATTCATTAATACTGATTACCTAATTTGTGCCTGACACTGTGCTGTACGATATATAGGCCTAATTTTTTAGCCAGTACACACCATTATGGTGATATCTATTAGTAAAATATTCAGTATATCCTACTGGTTGGTAAACAACTGCAACACCAAGCCCCTCAACTGATCTCCAGTCTTAGCCCATTCCCTGGGACCTCTTACATCTTATTTTAGCCTGGCAGCCAAGGGGTACCTCCAGGACCCTGCTCTAACTCTATGGCTAGTATCTCTTCTGATTAAGTAGTATCCTAATGTACCAGTTGTTAAATATTTCATGTGTTTCTTCTGGGAGAAAAACACTAAAGCACCAGAGGTGACATGACTTGCCTCTAATCTGCAAGTAGTTATTAACAAAGCATGATTCTCTGTTCAAAGAAATTCTTAGAATATTGTTCCTCTTTTCTTGTCCACAGTCACTTAGAGACACAGCCAGGATTTTAACTCAGGTATTCTGACTACAAATTATTGCTTCCTACCAAATTGGAGCTTCCTAATAGGTGTGCCTAGAACGGATTAAAATTCTGCCAAGATATTGATTTTTATCAGTCCCCAGAATAACTGAGATAGCCAGAGACCTGGGGCCAGTTGCCTACTAAAAAATACCATTTCTATATGTGCTATGAACTTAGAAACATTTTAATCACTGCACTACATCAGAAAACTCTCAACTTTTATCCCGTTTCACCTGTTCTGATTCTAAAAGGGAAAATAATTATAAATCTTTTTTTCTTATTTTTTTTTCTTTTTTCTTTTCTCTGCAGACACCACTGTGACTTGGGATATAAATCTTAAAAGTAAAAGAAGATAGTACTTTTGCTTCCATTTAGCAGCAGAACATTTTTGCAAATTAAATATTACACAAAAGTCACTATTTGAAAATAAAATATAATAATTCTATCATAAATGTGAAAATCTGACAAAATATATTCAACATCAAAATAAATAATGATAGTAATAGACAACCCATTGACTAAAATAGGAATCCATGCTAGTATAAATAAGTAAATTGGTAAATTAAAAATTTGAGAAGGAATGGGATATTTACATGGTCTCAAAGTATCACCCCATAAAATATTAAATACAAAGATAAAAAGATTGCTTTTACCCTGATGAAGACTGGCATATATCACCTTAATCAAATGATCAAAGTTAACAACCTAGTTATGGGACATCACATCTGTTATATTCCTGGAAAAATTGAATAACCCAAGTTGAATCATGACATGCCAAATTTGAGAGGTAGTCTACAAAATAACTGGTGTGTATCATCAAAATTGTCAAAGTCAAGAAAGCCAAAGAGAGACTGAAGAACTGTTCCAGATTGAAAACTAAAGAGACATGACACAGTATACAGCATGTGATTTTTAACTGGACCCTTTTGTTATAAAGAACTGTACTGAGACAATTGGTGAAACTTGAATGGGGTCTAAGAATTAGATGGTGAATTTTCAGATTTTGTTGGTTACATTGTAATTATATAGGAAAGTATCCTTATTCCTATGAAATATACACTAAATTATTCAAAAGTGATAAGGCTTCATGTTGGCAGCCTAATCTCAGGGAAAAAAAATTCTTTTTTACAACACTTGTAAGTTAAATTTTGAGATTGTTTTATAAGAAAATCTAATTTCCCAAATGAGCCCGTATATCTATTCCAAACACTTCAAGGCTTCTTAATTCAAATCCCTCCAGGTATTCTTTATTAATCATTCAAATTTAAGTGCTGCCTTTTTAAATCTCTATTGAACATCTACAAAACATCCTTTATGTCTTAGAACTTATCATGAATTACCTTGTAAGTTTATCTTACCAAGTTATCTTGGGTATATATCTTGCCTTCTCAGGAAAACTACATTATTCAAGGGCAGTAAACATCTGGGCATATCTTCACATCATCTATAGGTAGTATAACCATGTATTCTAGATTTTATAATACAATCAGTAAAATTTTGTTTTATTTAGGAAATTTAATAATGTATATCTAATATAGTTTAATTTTTTAAAATCTATATTTCTTATAAATAACTTGATAATTTTATTTTCCCTTTACCCAAACCCTGACTTAAATAAAAATTACTAATTTTACCATGCCTTAAATTGTTTTTGAGATATGCAATAATAAAAATAAATAATTGCATAGCAGAGCAGGCATAAAAAACTGTTAAACATAATTGTTAGAAACATAAAAATATATTTGTGAGGAAAAAAATCACGTAGTCATTCAGGGTTTTATAACCACTTAACATCTTGCTGCTTTCCCTTTCTCATTTGCACAGTAGTTTGTTATTATTATCATCATCGTTATTATTATTGACTTATTCTTTGATATTTTTTTTTCCCTTGATACTGAGCATTTGGTTTATATCCTCTCTTTTCTCTTGACATTATGAGTATTTTCCCATATCATTAAGTATTCAAAAACAATTTCAATGGCCATGTAATATTCTATCATGTGACTCAACATTAATTTACTGATAATGATTCCTCTATTATTAGACAGTTATTTCTGTTTCTTGTTATAAACATTACAATGATGACATCCTTGAATTTCATGTGTGACTTTGGCATAATTTTTAGAAACATGAACAAAAACTTTTGATATATCCTGAGATTCTATTCTCCAAAAAGATTACACCAATTTATACCCTGTATATGAGAGTATGTATTTCACTGCCCCATAGGAGTGTTTTTAGTAATAGCCAATATTCCTTCAGTTTTGTTAGGGAAGGGAGTGAGTATGGTCCAGCCATGAGCAAACAGCATATCTGTAAAAACACTGGCATACTGTATGTTAGCCCAAGCTTACCCTTATGAAGTAAACTTCTAAACAGCTTGGGTCTTCAGACTCTTCCATTGAATAGCAGCCAGTTAGGCAGTTGGAAGCTAAATAAAACTTTTTGTGAATTTTTGGCCTATTTTAGTAGAAACTCATATGGCTTCTTCATTGAAGTGTTTATTTAAATTCAGTTATTGACAAAGAAGGATAAACTCTTTATTCCATTTTTTTTCTCTATTATGACATTTGAAATATATAAAAACTATGATTGGTAAAAACCACTTGTATAGGCTGGGTGCAGTGCCTCATACCTGTAATCCTAGCACTTTGGGAGGCTGAGGCAGGAGGATCACTTGAGCTGGAGGTTACAGTGAGCTACAATGATGCCACTGCACTCTACCCAGTGTGACAGAGTGAGACTCTGTCTCAAAAAAAAAATCACTAGCATAATGAGTGGTTTTGTAAAATTTTCACAGTATTAGTTAGCTCTGACATATCCTAATACTATTTTTAAATACAAAACAAAGTTTTACTACATCTTAAAGAAAAGAAAACAGAACATCTGCCTAGTTTCTTTAGGGAGTAGAAATAGAATTAATCATTTCAAAAATTGATATGTTCATTTCAGTTTGGTACTGATTTTAAATTGATCCACAATCACATTGTTGCTCTCTGTTTTATAGGAACTTTATAGTGGTAGCAGGGACTGCAATATTCTTGCTTGGGTGCCATCTTTATATGAACCAGTTCCTGATGATGATGAGGTAAATATTTGTACAAATTGTCCAGTGACTTCTAAATCATGAGAAATAAAGTTTTATTAATTTATATGAGAGAGACTTTTAAAGTAGTTCTTTCTATTTTTATTATTGTAAAAATAATTTGCCTATTATAACACATTTGCAAAAATCAGAAAAATACCAAAACGTAAAATTTCTTAAGTTGAATTAATCAACATTAACATTCTGATTTATTTCATTGTTTTTTCATATGTATATGGTTTTTTTAACATAGTTAATACCATGGTTGGACATACAACTTTGTATCTTACTTTTCTCATTAACATTGTACAGTAGCCTTTTTCTATGTCATTAATAACTGTGAACATTATTTATAGTGATATAGTATTCTGTCGTTTATATACCACTATTTAAATATTTACCTATTTGGAGACATTTCTGTCGATTATTTTAAACAACATCAAGGTGAATATTTGTTCATAAATTGTTCATATATCTGATTATTTATTTGAATAGATTCCTAGAGGAAGAATTATCTCTTAAATGATCATGTATGACATTTTTAAAGGTCTTTATTCACCTGTCAAATTTTACCAATTTATACTCTTAACAGCAATGACAGTGCCTATCTTAAAGCATGAATTAGTATAAATATGACAGTGTGAATAAAGAGCCTTAAAAATGCAGTGGGTAAACAAAGATGAAGAAGATATAATCCCTGGCCTTAATAGCCTCTGCATTTTTTTTTTTTTACTTATCAAGCAATGGAAAAATAATCTAAAGGTGTTATCTCTCCCACCAAAGATTATTCTACTAAGCACTGTTAATCATCCTCATTTATCTTAATTTCTAGGATATAAAAAGTTTAATATCTACAAACAATGTTTATATAAATAAGTTTTTAAGTTGGAAATATAAATAATGTAGTTAGAAATACCTCAAAGTATTCTTAACCAAGTCATAGTAAAAACAAAACATCTTAAATGGAGGTCGAAAAAAGTTATTGATCATGCAAGTTTGACATTCAAAAAGCATTTTTCATATACTGTACTTAATTCCTTTAATGAAAATAGGACTATGTCAAAAAAAAAACATAGGAAATAGGATTTTTACAGGGGTAGTTGATGACACCTAGCAGCTACTGACAAAATTTATTTCATACTTAAATTTGCAACTGTTATGGTTTACTACAGGGTAAATCCTGTGAATTATTTTCTTTTGGCTCTAATCCAAAGAGAGAGAGAAAAACCCATGTTGATAAATCTTCAAGCAGCTAGCCAAATGCCATACGAATACTTCCAGATTTTATCTCATGTCTAATTTGGTTTATTATGGCTTGATTAGTTTTAGTGTACAGCTGCTTTTGATGACTAAATATTCTTTTGGATAAAGTCTAATAGGGTCAAATAGATGGGTTTAGCCATTTGTTTTACATTATTATTTAATTATTGTATCCTACTCTTTGAGCATTACTGTATACATTAAATCCAAGTTATAACACTATAGGCCATATTAGGAAGTATAACAATCATTTACCAAATGAAACAATAAAAATATAATAAATGTAAAGTAAATCTATCAAAACTTACACATAAAAAAAGATGTTAGAAGAAAATTAAATTGTTTAATGTATAAAGACAATATGTGACTCCGATGGTTTATTTCATTGTTATGTAGTTATAGTGGTAGTTTTGACTCCTTACCTAAAAGAACTTTGTATATGAAAAATTAAGCAAAACAAGTAGAAAATCAAATAGAGATACACAACAAACAAGTTGGCTCACGCCTATAATCCTAGCATTCTGGGAGGCCAAGGTGGGCAGATTGCTCAAGGTCAGGAGATCGAAACCAGCCTGAGCAAGAGCAAGACCCCGTCTCTACTATAAATAAAAAGAAATTAATTGGCCAACTAATATATATAGAAAAAATTAGCCAGGCATCATGGCGCATGCCTATAGTCCCAGCTACTCAGGAGGCTGAGGCAGCAGGATTGCTTGAGCCCAGGAGTTTGAGGTTGCTGTGAGCTAGACTGACACCACGGCCCTCACTCTAGCCTGGGCAACAAAGGGAGACTCTGTATCAAAAAAAACCAAAACAAACAACAAACAAGTTGAGGTTTATATTTAAGTTTTAGAGCTATAGAACTTTATCTTTTGAAATACATTGTTCAGAATCTTTAAGATAGCAGTTATTCTCATATTAATATGAAATGGCACGTGCTAAGTTTATTTCCATAAAACTTCAGTTTGAAAGATTCCTGTCAATGTTGGTATAACATGAATATGATCATGATGCAGATCCCAGTAGAGAAGTCTGTCTGCACAAGATTGTATTCCTCACATGGATGTTTACAATTTGACTCATATTTTAAAGTATTTTTACGAGAAAAAATAACGAAAAGAAAAAATATAAATAAATAAAATAATTTTTAAAAGAGAACCAAAATGACATAAAAGAAAAAAATAAATAGAAGAGTTTTTAACTCAACTATCAAATAAATGACTTGCAGTTTCCCAAGGAGGCAGTATAGCACAGTACAAAACAAAACACACATGCCTATACACACACATACTTAGCTTTTAGCTTTAGATAAACCTGTGTTTGGATTTCAGTTCTACCATTCATTACACTTGTGATCTGGGACAAGCTTATGATATTTCTAAATATCAGAATTGTCAAATCAAAGTTGTTCTTATTTTCTTTTCAAATCCACCCTTAAGATAACAAAGATAATCCCTTATGGGTGTTTCTCCTGATATCCAAAGTTTCTGTTTAAAGAAAGCAAAGTCATTGGATGATAGGAACAAGATTTATGGTCTTTAAGTATAATCCTATTATTAACTGGCAGGCTGTTTTATTATATTCTGAGAAATATGGCTTCCTTTTGCCCCAACTTCTTAAAACTTGGTCATTATCAAGCAGGCCTATCAGTAGCTCCTAATCTCATGTTCTTATGAGAGATCTATCGCGCAGGTTTATTACAGTTTAAATCTGACCTCTTATCAAGAATCTTACTTTATTTTTGACATTCACACAATACATAGCTATTTTACTTACCACTTGTGTAGGTGTATTAATATAATGACTTGCTGACCCAAACAACCCTGTGACTTTCAGGTAATTACTAGTCAAAAATTTGAAAGTTATCGAAATATATCCTAGTAGATGTTAAGTTTCATTTCATTTCTCCTGCCCATTTTTTGGACCTGGACTAGGTCCCCTCTAAACTTACTTTTCTTTAACTCCATAACATTTACAACTATCTGTCAGTAGAACTGGCAACCTGGTGAGATAGAGATGAATAAGCACAGGCTGGTTGTCCACTAGGAGGAGATGTTGTAGAGAAAACTGAAGTAACACTAGATCAGTGGGTCTCAAACAGTAATGTGTACTACATCTATCCACATTGTTACTGCAGCTTTTAACTACCAGTATATTTTATTTGTGATTGTTTTACTAATAAAATATATTTCTAGTTATACTGTAATACCTTTAATTTTGTTTCATTAAAAACAGCAAAATAATTTATATGCAACTATATTACAATTTTCACTTATTTTTGCTTTTATGCTGAGTTTTCAAATGAAATTAAAATGTTTAGTAGGTTACACATTGGGCTTCCATTGTAGAATTAGGGAGCATAAACTTTATGTGGCTTACCCATCCATGGACATGTTTAGTAGATATCTAAGGCAGAATTAAAGGCTTCTAAAGACAGAGTAGGACCCAGCCCCCCAATGATGATGCATCTTTGAATAAACTCTCACTAAATAACCTAACAGTAAATTATAAACTCAAAAAGACAGGAAATTCAGGAAATGTTTGGATGAAATAATAAATGAACAGGCTTCAGTACACTATTATTGCAAATAAAAGTAGACTTCTGCTAGAAATTAGTGAGTAGGTAACTAAGGTTTGATGATAGTTTTATATCTGAACATTTGGGGTATAATGGATATTTGATTGTACACCTAAGTGACAATAGCCAACATTAGGTTTAGTGATGCACTCTGATCTAATTAACAACAATAAAGAATGCCTAAATTAATACAGGCAGTCCCCGGGTTACAGACGACCTGACTTAACGGCATCCCATACTTAAGAACAGTCTCCCAAGGCTCCCCATAAGGATAATTTATAATTAAATTAATAACTCGGGAACTAATTTCTTCCATGTATATAAACAAAACCTGCCTGGCATAAGTGGTTGGCATAGCATCTTTATGCTAGCAGCTAGTCTCATTGTTTATACGGTCACACAGCATCACTTTCATCTTAACTTTTTAGTTCAATTTTGTGAGTTTGTGTTTACCCTTATGACCATGCCTCCAAAAAGAAGTCCGCTGCAAGTCTAGGTGAGCCTGCAGGGAAGAGAAAGGTGATTACAATGGAAACAAAAGTAGAAATAATTAAATGTTCGGAGAAAGACCAGATGCCATCATTCATTGGGAAAGCATTAGGCTTCAGTTGCTCAACTATTGGAACAATTATAAAGGATAAAGTAAGAATAAGGGAACATGTGAAAGGCAGTCCTCCAATGAAAACATCAATTATTACTAAACAGTGTATGGATTAATTATTGAAATGGAAAGGTTATTATTGATTTAGTTAGAAGACCAAAATAAGCGTACTATTCCTATTAGCCTAGCATTGATGCTAGGTGGCATTAGAAGTGTTAAACTTTAATATTCTATTTTGAAATTTCTCCTTTCTCCTATCTAAACTTTTTGTATGAGTTTGTTTTTATTTTTTTTTAATTAAAAGAGCACAATAGTTTCTATATAACTTAACCTCTGTACTGTTATTATAGTATTACACTGTATTATTATTACCACATATGAGCCATTATAGTTTTGTTGTTATTATTACCATATATGTGCTGTTCATCGGGGATCCCAGTTACATACAAATCCAACCTAAAGATGTTTTCAGGAACTTACCTTTCCATAACCCAGGGACCACCTGTATAATTATTCTCCAACTAGCCTAGCTGATACTTGGGAAATTTACTGGGAACACTCACTTTTTCTATTGTTTTCATTGTTTGAATTGTAAGATTCTAAGTCATTATGTTCATCAAAAAGGAAATAAATATATGAGATGTGTAGTAGAGGTTTTTCTTAACAAAAAATATTTCTGTAAGTTGTAAAAGGCAAAACATCTAAGCTAACTTAAGAGTAGTCTTGATGTTAATACATTATTGGAATTTGGATCTAAACAAACTTGTAGCAAATGTAAAAGCTGCAGAATCAGAAGCAGACCTGGCTCATAATTCCCAGATACTTTAAAAATGAGACTATCTTAAAGCCCTTTTAGTCATTTGACAGAGAATAAGAAGGTTCCCATTCAGAAGTTTTCCCAAAAAAGTGAATTTATTTGAAACACCACAAATAAAGGTTCTGTAGTTGCTGATTACCTTTATTCGATGTGCCTCTAAAGTTGTAAGAATACTGTGATATTTGTTGTTGTTTGAAATAACCATCATCTAAATGCGCGTTATCCTTCAGAAAAATCTCTGAGGTAAACCTATGTGCTGATTACAAATATGTTACCACTTCTGACATATTTTTCATGTGTTACTAAACTATTTTACCAACTATTTAAAAATAAGTAAATAAACCTCACTATTTACAACTCATAATTACTTTTTGGACTAAAATGGTATTACTCAGCTTGATGAACACCTTATCCCCATATTTGGTTATTTATAAAAGTCAATTATATCCAACATTGGGTTGCCAACATTAATATTTTAGACTGCTAAGTCAGACTATATATCTGGAATCCAGTCTTAGCCCCATAAATATCAATGTACCACCTTCTCCAAGGTTAATTCCAAAGAGTTGCAGGAATACCCTGAGCAACAGCATCAGGGTATATATATATATATGTGTGTGTATATGTATTTGTGAAGTGACTATTGATACTTTGAACAAAACAGCTTATTTGGATAAAGTCTAGTATGTCTGTTTAAAAGGAAGTTATATTGTAAAAGGAGTATTTCTTACATTATTTTTGTTTTGAAATTAATAATTATGCAGTTTCTTTCAAAATAATGTAATTGCTACTCATCTGGTATATTTCTTAACTATACTGTGAACCTAAAATTATGAAGTAGAAAATAGAATTTTCCTTTTTCTTTTTCTCTTTTTAGACTAAAACCAAATCACAGTTAAATCCAGCCTTTGAAGATGCCTGGAGCAGCAGTGATGAGGAAGGATGATTGTTGACCTTCAGTTCCTTTGTGTCTGTGTTGATGAAACTTTTTTAGTAGGACTATGTGGGCTTTTTTTTAACTGTCCTGTCAATTCTTGACAACTGAATTTGGATCATTTTCCCCCATGTTTTAAAATGAGGTTAATATTTACACAAAATCCTAAAACAGATTTCTATATAGTTTATCAAAACATGTCTCCTTAATCCCACTTGTGGCCTAAGGCAACCCCTGTTGTTACGGTACAAGGACACAAGCCACTGTGCCTCAATTGGGACCTTCAGCAGATTCTATGAACTATAAGATGCTGCAAGATCTGCAGCTGATCAGAGGATCAGCAAGTAGAAGTTATCAGCATTGACTTTCTCATACTGGCTGTACCATTAGCCTGCTCATTTCCACCTTCAAGAATGATTTTACTGAGGATGATTACATCAAAAGTAGTAGTTGGAAAGGTATTGTCAAAATTATTTTATACTTTCTTATTTGTGTATTCACATTATACAATGATTTCATTTAATTGACTGTTGTCTAAATTTATGTTAAATATTTTTGGACTCAGTTTCTTCCACAATCCAAAAAGTGCACCACAGAAGGCTTTTAAGTTGGCAAAAATCCCATGTTTACTTTATTTTAATGTCAGAGCTTGCACTCATGCTTGAACTCCCTTTCTATGAAACTCATTAAGATGTGACCAAATCCTACTTCATTCATGCAAGCAGAAATGTCCTGGCAGGAAATCTGGCTTAAACATAAAATGTTTTCATAAAATTTCTATTTTATTGTCTCCTTTTATGTCAACCCACAAATGATTATCATGAAGCTCATCTTGATATTCCCTTTCTTCCTGATTCTTACCAGCAGGAGACTAGTAATAGAGGTTTTTGTGAGCTTGAATACAAAATATACAGTTATTGAGTTTTTAAATGTATTACAGTTAGGCCTCATATCAGACCTTTCTGGCTAAATATTTTCCATACACTTTCTTTTACAATTGATTTTTTTCAATTGACAGATAAAGTTGTATGTTTTTACTGTATACAGCATATTGTTTTGAAGCAAATATACATATGGACTGACTATACCTAGCTATTAACATATCATTACTTCACACAGTTATCATTTTTGCAGTGAGAACATTTTACATCCATTCATTTAGCATTTTTCAAGAATACAATATATTAGCTATAGTTACCATGTTGTATGATAGATCTTTTGAACTTATTTCTCCTATTTTACTGAAATTTTGTTTCCTTTGACCAGTGTCTCCCTAGCCACCCTCTAAGCCCCAAGTAACCACCATTCTATTCTCTACATCTATGAAATCAACTTTTTAGATTCCACATATGAGTTAGATCATGTGGTATTTGTCTTTCTGTGCCCATCTTATTTGACTTACCATCATATCCTTCAGGTCCATCCATATTGTTATGAATGACAGGGTTTCCTTTTTATGGCTGTATAGTATTTCATTATGTATAGATACCATATTTTCTTTATCAGTTCATCCATTGATGGACACTTAGGTTGATTCCATTTCTTGGCTATTGTGAATAAGGCTGAAATGAACATGGGAGTGCAGATATCTCTTCAACATACTGATTTCATGTCCTTTGGATATAAGCCCAGTAGTGAGTTTGCTGATTCATATGGTAGTTCTGTTTGTAATTTTTTGAGGAACCTCTATACAGTTTTCCATAATGGCTGAATTAATTTACATTCCTACCAACAGTGTTAGATGGTTCCCTTTTCTCCACATCCTCACCAGCACTTGTTATCTTTTGTCTTATTGATGATAGCCATTCTAACAGATGTGAGGTGATATTTCACTGTGGTTTTAACTTGCATTTACCTGATGATTAGTGCTATTGAGCATTTTTTCATATGCCTGCTGGCCATTTGTATGTCTTCTTTTGAGAGATGTCTATTCAGGTCCTCGGTCCCATTTTTTAATTGTGTTGTTTTCTTGTTATTGAGTTGAGTTCCGTATATATTTTGGCTGTTAATCCCTTGTCAGATCTGTAGTTTGTAAATATTTTCTCCTATTCTGTAGGTTGCCTCTTTACCTGTTAATGGTTTCCTTTGCTGTGCATATGCTTTTTAGGTTGATGTTATTCTATTTCTCTATATTTGCTTTTGTTGCCTGTGCTTTTTTGGTCAGATCCAAAAAACTATTGCCCAGATCAGTTTCATAGAGCTTGTTCCCTATGTTTTCTTCTAGTGGTTTCATAGTTTTGAATAGTTGATTTTCTTAAGCTCAGACCATCCTACTCTCACTTTTTTCCCCCTGGGGAATGTGTTTGAGCTTTGAGAAGGCTATTAAAATTGGAAATTTTTTTTTTTTAATTTTAAGAAAAAGGAAGTGTTCATCCAAACTGCAAATAACTGTTTTGCTTCTTTATAGTTATATAAATATATATGCTTATTGTAAATAATTTGAACAACATAAAAACCCAAAAAAGAAAATAACAGACACCTGGAATCATAATACCATAAGGTAATCACCGGTAACATTTTGGTAGCTTTTCTCCCATGCATCTCTTTATGACACATGTAATTTTGCATAATAGGATGTTTGATATGCTGCTGTTATCATAGAAGCTTCTCTCTTCCCACATTAGCTCCTCGTTCCCATCCCTTACCCCTCCTGCTACAATCCAATTTATTAACCTAGTATGTGTTCTTTCACATAACAATCCTACAATTTATCCTATCTATGTACAATTTATGGGGATGTATTTTTATTTTGCAAAAATGGGATATACACAGTTCTATCTTGACTTTTTTCCAGATACATAAATTCTTCTGTGTCTTCTGTTATAACAAAGTCATTCTTTTTTTAACTGCATAATACTCCATCTTGTGAACATACCCCAATTTTTTTTCAACCAATCTCCTCTTTAGGGTGACATATATAGTACTAAAGATTATGAACTGTGCTTTATTTTCTTGAGGTGGTGTATTTGGGTGGTGCTATTTAGTTATTGAATATCATTTTTTCCTCTGGTAAAAGGAAATTATAGTTTTGCTGGGTATAAGATTGTTAGGTTCTGGTCCTTTGTTTCATTATTCTGTAGCTATCGTGTCCACTTTTTCTAGCTTCTGGTATTGCAAATGAGAATTCCAAAGCCAGTTTGATTTTTGTTCCCCACTGTAGGGAATTCACTCTTTACAGCTGGAAGTTTGTAAACTGTGAGGTTTTTTCTCTCTTTATCCTTACAGTTTCTTAATTTTATGAAGATATCTGATATCTTTTGTTTTTTATCCCATCACTTGGACTTCTTATGAGCTCTTTCACTCTGAAGCCCCAAACCTTTTCTCAGCTCAGGGATATTTTCTTCTAATATTTGTCTAATTGTTACTTCTCCTTTGTCTTTTTTTACTTATCTTCTTAAGATCATCAATAATTACATGTAAAGTCTACCCTGATCTCTCCTTCAGAGTCTTAATTTGTTCTTCCTGCTTGCTTTTTATGAAATTCTTAGAATATTGCCTGGCATATAGTAGATGCTCAATAAGTACTTGTTTTGTTGTTTCTGCTCTGTACTTTGCAATATTATGCTTGAACTTCAAGGTTATTAATTCAAGCTTGATTAACCATCAGGGGAGACATTTAAATTGTTGTTTTATTCCTCTCCCCATACTATACCCTCATTTTATTTATTTATTTATTTTTTTCAGCATATTATAGGGGTACAAATGTTAAGGTTATGTATATTGCCCTTGCCCTTTGACCCCCTGGAGTCAGAGCTTCAAGCGTGTCCTTCCCCCAATTGGTGGGTATCACACTCATTATGCATGTATATATGTAGACATATATCAGAGAAATATTGGAGGTCTTTAGAGGCTTCCACTTGAAACTTTTTTAAAATTGTAAAATTGTTTATGCAATTAATATTTGTCAAGCCTATTCACAGGGTATATTAATCAACTTTTTATGAATGCAGTGATCACCTATAACTTCTCTCCAATGCTTTCTACATTTGACATATTTTCCTTCCATGCTGTTTTGCCTAGTAATATGTGTGTTTTCAACATTTAAGGTACTTGTACCCTGCCATATTTCAAAGAAACATCTATGCCAGTTGTTTATTTCACTTCAACTTGATTCCAGTTTTAACTAGAACCATTCATGGAATTCCTGTGAAATGCTTAGTTTTTAAAAGTGTATAGAAATAGTAAATGTACCTGTTTTATTGACATAGCCCTAAATCTATGCTTAACCAGAAGCCTAAAAAAATAGCATCACAGTTTGGCTTGACCTCTCTTTTATGCTTGCTACCAAGCCTTTACTTTACAATTGATTAAGGAAACACCTTAATAAAGAAAAAAGTCATCCCTTTAACTGAGCATTCTTTCTGTACAGTTTATGCTAAAAAGCCCAATTTAAACTAGATCTTTAAAAACCTTTAAAGAAAGCTCTGAAAATTAACCCTTAAACTATACCAATTGTAATACCAGACAAAATAACTTCAAAATGAAGATTATTCAGTAAAGGATAGGTATGTAGTTCTATTTCAGAAATATTACTCATTAGCAATACACTAATACTTGGTTTTCCTTTTTTTTTTTTTTTTTTTTTGAGACAGAATCTCACTCTGTCGCCTGGGCTAGAGTGCCAAGGTCTCAGCCTAGCTCACAGCAACCTCCAACTCCTAGGCTAAAGCAATCCTACTGCCTCAGCCTACCAAGTAGCTGTAACTATAAGCACGCACCACCACATTCAGCTAAGTTTTTCTATTTTTAGTAGAGACAGGGTCTCACTCTTGCTCAGGCTGGTCTCAAACTCTTGGCCTCAAGTGATCCTCCTGCCTGAGCCTCCCAGAGTGCTAGGATTACAGGCATGAGCCACCACGCCCAGCCAATACTTGGTTATTTCTATAAAAATGATATAACTACTGAAGATTAAAAAAGCTAAAGGCATTTCAGTAAATTATCAATTTTTATAGACAAATTGGTAAATTTCCTTTCCTCGAGTCAGAGCTTTCTAGCTCTGACTAGAAAAAGTAATTTTTTAATTTTTTTCTACATTCAGGTAATTGTTTGTCTTTCTGGAGTGCAGTGGTGTGATCCTAGCTAGGTATAACCTCAAACTTCTGGGCTCAAGCAATCTTCCTGCCTCAGCCTCCCAAGTAGCTAGGCCTATAGGCCTATAGATGGATGCCACCATGCCCAGTCAAGGTACTAATTATTGAGCCTGAACTTAAAAACTCTAAAATATCATTAAAGAACTAAACATCAGTTAAACTGTGCTAGAAATGGAATGGCAAAAAAGGCTGGCACACTTGGGATTTTTGTCTTTCAAAAAGTATAGCAGAGAACACTGATTACAGAAAATAATTACTTTGTATTGTGATGAAGGTTCTAGACATCTGAAAGTTAAATTTAGCCCTCAGGTCTATTAGAGTTGGTTCTTGTGTTTTAATTCTGGAAAATATTAAATTCAGGGGACAAATCTAACAAGGTTTAATCATCCATATGGCTTTTCTTCTTTGCAAAGAGTATATGAAGTCCTTCTGTGCTACCTAGAATTACTGTAGTAAACCTTGGTGCTTAAAATTATTACAAGTCATTCATTATAATACAAGTTTATCTATCTTACTGGCGCTGTCAGCAGCATCCTTACTTAAATACAGGAGGCATAATTCTTTGCTGCCATCTAGTTTTTTGTTTTCTGTTTTTTCTTTTTGAATTAGGCAATTACAACTTGAAAACAAGGGGGAATAATGAGACAAACAACTGTATCGTGACCTCTCTTAGTTCTCTGTTTCTCTGTGTGTAGGTTTCTACAAATGACCTATACCCTCTTGACTCCTCATGAAGGTACTCGTAAACTTTGTACTAGTGGATTGATATAGTTTCCCTAGTTCGTGCTTTCCTGAGGCTTGGAAAGAAATGGTGTCACAGTCCTAACCTGATTAGTTATTCTGTCTCTAAAAACACAATTAAGTAAATGTTTAAGACGAAGTTCTTCAAGCTCCTTGTGTTTTTTTGCTTTGTTAGTTTGTTGATGGTTATGGTTACTGCGTAAGATTTTGCAGAACTTCTAGCCAGGTAGCCCTAGGTCTGGCCAGTAATGTTTTTTTGGCAATGGTGGTCATCTCTTTAAGGCTACTAATGATTGGCTCAGGTGACTCGCAGGAGCCACTTCTCTTTTGTTCATTTTATCCTTTGTGGCAACCGCACTAAATTAGGGTTTGTTAATACCTTGTACAAACACCAGCAGGTGCAGGAGAGCTGCTACTCCTGTGTGGCTCAGACACTTAACTCTCCAGCTTCCCTTCACCCGTTGTGATGCCATCATTCACTGTTGTGTGACTTTGTATATTTTCTAAATAAATATGCTATTCAGAGTTTTGCTAAAATATGGAAATAACATTCCTAATAAGTCTTTGAGAATAAGAGTTATAATATTAACTGTTTTTATTGTACTATTGTTTTCTTATATATGTTATATATGCAAAATTCTATCAGAGTTTCAGTAAGTACTATGGAAAGAAGTTATTAAAAAAAAACTCAGT